ATTAATACAGGATCACGTTTTTCGTAATATAAATAATAAATTTTTTACTAATTCATTTTGCGATATTCAAAAATAAATATTATGTAATTTTCCAAAAAAAAAATAATACTGAACAATAGGATCATAATATTGTTGTAATAAATTTTTATTAATAATATATATACTCTATCTATTTTAACTTAATCAGATGTTACTGTTAAACTATTTTCTAAGTTTCTATTTGATTTATATAAAGGAGTATTGTGCAGTAAAGACATGTTAACAATTAAAATATTTTGCAAAACTAACAATGTCTTAATGAAATTAGTTAGAATAGAAGGTTCATGTGAATAATGAATTGGAATTATAGATTCACGTAATTTATAATAATGATGTACTTCAACCTTGTCTCTAATCAAAATATTCAAACATAGCTTTTGTCCTGCTATCTGCATTCTTATAATTCCAAATTGACCCTTCTCGGGTTTGCGACTTTTTTAGATCCAGTACATTTCATCATTAGTTTTGCATTATAATTTCACATTATCATCGTCTTCCTTCTGCTTATTACAAAAAATTTGTGAGCATTCTATGTATATAAGTTCATATAGTTTAACACTCTCTTTTGACACAAGTATTATATCTGACCATCTTCCTATACGTCCGTCATCTCTTCTATCTGAACTTGCTATACTTTAGCATTTAAAACTAAAAAAGGAATTATATTTATCATAATTTAAGATTTTTAACTAGCTATAGTCAGATATTACAAAAAACTTACATAGTAATGAATGCATGTTCTCTAAAAGGGTTATCAAATAATATAGCATAGATTGCGAAAACAACTACATTATTAACATAGGTACCCTCATTTATCGTTTCAACAAATTTAGGACTAAAAGCTGAATTGTATCAAACACTTTTCAATGTATCAAGAATTTTTAACGTAACTTTGTTAAGCTTATTGTTGCCTTTCTTCTAGTTTTTATCATGCGTTAATCTTTCTTACAATCTTAGTATACTTCGTGGCATAAAATTTGTTACGAATTTTACACATTCTTCTGTTATACCTCGAGGTATTATTAGGGATACCATTTCTTCAACCAGTTTCTGAAATGAATATAATTAATTTTTAAATGGTAGAAAAAATATATATTATTTTTCACTGTCGAGAAAAAGAGAGTATTAGCGAAGATATATACCATAAATTTTATTTTTTTGATAATTGAGCTACTAGTAATGAATCACTAATGATGACCTGACTAGCTAAAGTGATCTTTCAGGTTAGTTCAGAGATTGTTAATCTATTTAAAATAACTACTAACTCCTAGTAAAGTTTTGATGTTCTGGTCTAAATAATACAAATACCTCATATTAGTCTGACTTATCAGCATGATAAAAAAAAAGATAGTGCCACCTATAGCAAGTTTTTCTTTCAACTTATTTATATTGTATTTAATCTATTCTAAAGTAAAAGACTTCTCTTTATTCTACAAGTCAAAAGATTGTTATTAATATATTCATATCATCTACCATTTTTTAAAACATACCATTTTTATAACTCCAACATCCTACAAATTACTAATATAATCAAAAGCAATATCAAACTAATGCAGATATACAAATAAGTTAGATAACTACTGATATATCAAATGAAAATATAAATAACCGCACAGTCGTTAAAAAATAACACAAAGAAATCACCCAGTACAGCCTGGCTATAAAATGAAACTTTGTGTAATATAATATTAATCACATTAAAATAAGCATGGACTTCAACATAAATAACTCTCCACACCGTTAAGGAAAATCCTATTAGTAGGCTAATAGGGTTTTTATACTGATATATTTATCTCCTCAGAAGTGCCACTATCTGCGTATTTATCATTCAATATAATATGATCATAATATTTCACCTATAAAATAGCGTAACTGTGATATAATTTGAATAAGTTTTTCAGAACGTTCAAAATCTATACCATACGAGTTTTTTATCAAATTAACCGCTTTTTCTACAACGCCTCTTAGTTCATCTTTACTAATTCAAGAATTTTCTTCTAACTCTTAGTAAATAACAGAGCCTGCTATTAAATGTTCAGTCTTTACGCTGATCAAATATTCTACAGTTTTTACGTATAAATATTCTGAAAACATAATGATAAAAGTAGTCTAAATATAATGTTAGAAGCTTGCTAAGCAAAGTAAAAAAAAATAATGTAAAGGCGTAATAATTTCACTATACTACCCTTTAAATGACTCTATTTATATTCTCTTTAGACTTGTATTTATATTGGGAGAAGAGATAGGAGAATATGTAACGGACTCTTACGCTGAAAGTTTGTGTTCGAGAATAAGGACATGCAGAATATGCATTAAAAATCTCAACAGTATATATTTTAATGAGAATCAAAACATGCTAATTTATGTTATACACACTTACATACATTGGCCTTAAGGTGCTGGGGGTATGTATATACAAACTTTTTTTTCTTTATTTCAATTGCTTGACCGCTCAGTAATAAAGGCCTACTAACATTATATAAATATATTCCAGTTGAAATCTAGTAGGAATAGCCTGTAACAACGTAACACTCTGAAAGAAATAAATTTATAAATAAATGCTATTCTGATAGATAGGGAAAAAATTCAAAATATTTTAGAGATTGATTTCTTATGTGTAAAAATCAATTTGTCGCACAAGCAGTTCACACAGAGTTACAAATGATTTGCGATGTATCACCTATTACATTATATATACTTTAACGAGAATCAGAAACACATTTTATTTATATCGCACACTGGAAACGCTTCGCATAGTTGAACAGTATATTATTTTATTAAGACAATATTCAGAATCTTGGTCAAGGTCTGATCTGAAAAATTCAACGCACAAACTCATAATTATTATCTAAGTCTGTGAAATTCACAGTAATATCTTTTTCTCTGTAAATATAATATATGTATTTTAATGGTAAATCACATATAGGTTTTTCTATTCCTGATAATTTACTCTTATATGTCTTGTATTCTGAAATTCTGATGAAGAATACATAATTATATTTTTTTTATGAATACTACTATAATATTTAGGATTCTGTTGATCATTTTAATATGTCAAGTCAATATATACCTCTAACAACCATATAGCCTTGCTGATATAATAATTTCTTAACAAGTATATGTGATATTGTATCTAATCGTATCCATAATTGGGCTATCTTCTCATATATCCAATCATTTCTTACTGGATAACAACGTTCCCTATCCTTATAACAAATATATCTTGATTGTTCTGATTCATTTTTATACTTAAAACTTCATATCATCAGAAGTACTATCATTTCTCACCGTCTCTCAAACTCGTTTTGCCAAAGATTCAGGTCTTTCTTGTAATTCCTATAAGCTTGCTGGATAACTGTCGTATAGAAATTCTTAAACTGATAGTTATATTGTCTAGCAATCAAGAATTCCCAAGATCGCTTCATTGATCTTCCTGAACTTCTTGAACAATACTTTATTAAAATAGATTAGAAGATCTAACCCAGAATAGACAGATCATACATAGCATCTGCATATAATACAATTACACCTTTACCTGTAATTTCATTACATGTAGATTATATAGTTGCAAAAAATAATTTATGAATATAGTTGAGATAAATAATGTTATTATTCAGTCAAAAGTAATAGTCAGAATCAGTTAGCTAAACTACCGTGATTTCTGTTTCATCTCCCAATCTCAACACAGTACCTTTTGGCTGTTTTGCATAAAGAGATGAGATAAATATTTTACTAGAGGTTAGTGAAATCATTTCTTGGTTATCAGAGGTAACAGGAGCACTTGCCATAGTATTTTTTACTATAGTTGCTAATTTGACTATAATATTCCTTTCTAGGTTCTACTTCGGTAATCTTTACCAATTTCTAGCATTTGGCCATTTGACTTTTATAGATACTAGGTCTACAATATTGGAAGTGATCTTCATATAACTCACCATTAATATAATATGTTTTGGATTCTACTTGCCTAAATGAACTGAAAAGGCAGTATACATGGTTTAAACTATATTTTCGCTTAGAAAGTAGTTCTTGTAAAGGAGCTCTTATACGAACAGCCCATTGCTGAGGTGTTTTATGAGGTCTAATAATGGATAAATGATCATATTGTTTTCCTATTTCAACCACTTTTTCATACCGATAGTTATCAGTTTGAAGTCGATAGTTAAAAATATGTTCCATATTATATCCAAAACGGAGATTGATAGGTTTGGGTATAGTTTTATTATAAATTTTATCTAATATGATCTTAACCATTGCACCAGGCATAATTAATAAATTAGTAATTTAGTGAATTATAGTGAATTGAAGCAAATTATAACAGTTTATTAACTTATAGTGTTTTTATCGATTTTAGCTGATTTATCAATATTATACTCTAATAAATATCAAATTCATTTTTATTCGGATTTTTTTGATTCGGCCTTTTTCGATCAAAGATCTTCTGGAGAAAAGTTTGAATTTCATCACCCTGAAGTTCTATGAACAAGGGGGTATATCACATGCGAGCTCCCTGCCAGTTCCTCGATAGTTCTAGGAGTGTTCCAGGCGCTGGCAAGTATCTATAAATCACAAGATGATTGGGCGCCAAATTTACCGGCAAACTGTTTAAGGGATAGTAGGAAAAAAGAATTAGTTTGCGGATTCCTCATGATTGCATGTATCATTTTATTTTATTTGATAAGTGCTCATACAGATACACATGAATAAAAAAGGAGAAAGGCCCGATATGGGCAAAAAAATACTTTATTAATTAATAATGTGAGATAGTAAATACAGAAATTTTTCGGATACATTGCGCAGTATTCAAGTCACGTGAAAGTCACGGGTGGGACCTCAGGTCTCACACGTGATCAAAATGTTGTTCGATAGATCAGATCTGTGAAGCAGTGAGCTTCGAAATGGCATTTGCACTATAAGAAATAACCCATTTAATCTTATCTACTCCAATTTTCCGAAACAGCTTAAAAAATTTTTACGGCCCGTTGAGTTTTTTTACGCAAAGTATCCTTAGTAAATCCGCCAGGGAGATGCTCCATTGTATCATCGTACACTTGATTTCTTGCCAATTGATCACTAACTCCTCTTCGAGCATTCTTAATCTCCTCAACCCTCTCTTCATACACCTTCCCATAGTAATACCAACACGAAATTTCTTCTTGGATTGCTTTCGTAGCACATGTCTCTGCTCTACAAGCTTTTTGAAACAGGCGGGCTAAAGTCTTTGGCATTGAAGCTTCCGAATCATCCTCAGCCACTTCATTATTTTCGATAGATTCTCCCCTAACAGGCGTAGATAATTCTTGCAATAAGCCCTGCAAGATATTGTGCTCACGGTTGTTGTTTCCAGAGGTAGCCTATTGTCTTGATTGCCTTGGCGAACGTCTCAATGGCTGATTTTGAGCAGTATTATTATTATTCCCATCATTCGTAGCTGAATCCTGGGAATCATTTCCACTATTTTCATTAGGTATGTCCTCTGGATTATCTTGTAAATTGGCAGAGCGGTTTGATGCATCTGGTGTCCTTTCATCATCATTATTTTCAGAAGCATCATCCTCAATCACGATTGGGCTTGTCACCTGATCCTGCATAGTGACTTGCTTCGACTGACTCCCTTGTCCAGCACGAGAGCCACCTTCTACTAATCCTAGCAAAGACATGAGCTCCTCATCATTCTGTCTAGTGTCAGTTTGTTTTTTCTGAAGATGATATCTCTTTGATCTGCAGGTGAAATAATAGCCCGAAATTAGTGAGAATGGGCGCACCTATTACGCTAAGGGTCTGCAGAGATAGTTGCAAAACAAAGAAAATCCCGATCTTCGTTGTCAATCCAACTTACTGATCACGAATTAAGATTTTGTCCCTAAATGCCCTGCATTAGTGCGAGTACGATTAAACTATCAGCATAAATAATCTATCAATTTGTCCATTACTACTCTGCTATCCATATGCGAAGAGTTAATCAAAGCAAGCTTTTTTTATTTGCAATACATTGGATAAATTACAAATTAGCGACTTTGCGTTTATCCAATACCCATCTATAATCATTATTTTTGTCCTAACCTCTGTTTCATCGGCCGTTTCGCTAAGTAAAAAAATGGCTGAAGTCACTATCGCACTGCGCATTTGCCTTAGCGGTGATCACTCCATATGACCGTCTAAGCCACCTACGTGATTCGAAAAAATATACGATAATCTAGTCTATATGAGTATATAATTCATCCAATAATTATCCTAGGCGGTTACCGGTGAGATAATAGGACTCATCATTAGTGAGGTTTTTCTTTCATATCTTCTGTCACAATAGTAATAACCTCTATCACGTTCACCATATTCATTATATCCACCATAACCATCATATCCATCATCATTATCTGATTCATCCGGCATCTCTTCTTCAGAATCGCTAGAATCGGAGTCATTGTCCGACTTAGTTTCGTTCGATTCCCCTCCTGATTGCGAAGCAACCTCTTCATTCGTTTCTTCTTCTTCCTTAAAATAATCTGTAGCATCCGAGGTATCACTAAAATTATCATTTGAATTGGGGTCATTAGCTGAAGTATTAGCCATGGTCTCGGAGATTTCGTTCACATGACTCTGATCAGCGATTGTCTTCGATTTGACCTGTTCTATGATGTATTCGATTTGGGGATTAGTGAGTCTTGAAATTCTGTCAGCGCTACAGGTGACCCGCTGGACCATATAACCAGGTATGCCTTTATTCTTTTTCAGAGTTACAGGATCATATTCATAACCAAATAGCTTATTGATTTTTCTAGCTTTACAGGTCATTACACGCAAATATCCATCCGAGACACCTGTGAGATAGGGCTTCATTTCATTATAGATCTGCTTTCTTGCGGTCTGATCTGTAAGTTTCTTATCATTAGACCTAAGCTCCACGACTTTATCTTCAAACCTTTTGGAAAATAAACGCCATAACGTAATCTCTGATCGCTTTGCTGAGATCGTTTTCCCCCTCGCATCATTTGCCTGGCAAAATGAATTGGCGAGTTTTTTGATGCTTATTGATCCGGGAATTGGGACTCTGGGAGGAGTAAACTTTATAGCTTGAAGTTGACTGTCTGGTGAAAATAGTTCCTGCAACAAATCTTGTACGAATTCGGTAGCTATGTTGGAGAAAGTCCGATCATTCACACTATTCTTGGTCGATGGTAAGCTATTAGAGGATTCTGATGGGGGGTTTTCGAGAGAGACCATCACCCTCTCTTCATTCTCCAGTCTTTCTGAATCTACCTTTGTCAAGGTGGACGAAGAATTAGTAACGATTTCTTCCTCATGTGACAATTTCGAATTTTCGGAAAACCTGTTAACTTTGTTAACGGGTTTTATATCACGTGATAAGGTTGAGGAATTCGCAATACTTTTTTGGGTTTGTTCCTTAGAGATATTTACAACGACCTCTACTCTGTGAGAGGAAGTACAATTGTTAATCTCTGGCTCATGCGACTTCTCAACATTATTAACAGTTTCCGTTACATAGACAGTATCGGAGGTGTTGTCCTGATCACGCTGGAGTTTCTTCTCCTTATTGCGTTGCCTAATATCATCACTAATCCTTTTCTTATGAACTTCATTTAAGAAATCGTCCGTCTCTTATCTTCCAATGGTTTCTCATGATGACCCGTAACCAAATTGAAGTAAGATGAGTTGTTGTTAGGAGTATTATCATTCTGCAATTGTTCCAGTTTCAAAATTCTATCGGTGGTATCCTCGATTCTAGCATCACGTCTGTTATTCTCTTCCATAATTTGCCTTATAAGTTCTGAATTCCTTGCTTCAACCTCAGCAAGCTTCTTTTTAAGTTCGGGAATCTCAGAATTCTTGGCCTCGAGTTCAGCTTTAAGCTCAGCTTTCTCAGCCTCAAGCTCAGTAATGCATTGCCTCAATGAATCTATTTCGGATTCCATACCTGTGTTATAATATAATATTGTTATGTATTATATGCCTATATTCAAATAATTAAAAATATATATCAACCTGTTAACATTGTTAACGGGTTTTGCCAAGAAAATTTTTTATTAATACATGCGAAATAAATACAAATGTTCGGAACGTAGCCCGCGATACATGACGTCTATCTAATATACATAAATATTGACTACCCCTATTTTTGAATCTTGATCTTGATTTTTTCTTCCACGCGACGCTTCTTAGACGCAGGCTCATCACTAGCTGATACCCTATCTTTTAATAACCCCACTATAACCTCCAAAATCCTCTTCACACTCTTGCACAATTCGGTTGGATCCTCGAGAGCGTCTTCTGTCAATGAAACTCGATACTCGGTCCTGCTCGTATAGTAGATAGCCTCAGTGCTATGTAGGATGAAGTACCAGTCCGTGGCTAAGAAATTATAAAACAAGTCAGTGATGCAAAAGATCGGAGGAAGAAAAAAAACAGGTTCGCTAGAGCATTTTCTCACCTGTTGTAATGATACCATAGACATATTTATACTCCTCGAATGCTTCTTCGGCCTTACGCTTTTTCTTGAGTGTATCTAAGTTCATCTGTGTCCAGGCAAATAACTGATAACGATACTTAGTGTATGAACGAAAAATTTTAACCTTACCCTTTTCCTGGTTAGTCCTCAGCTATAATGCTATAATATTCGAGTGCCAAGGAAAAATTATTCGTGTAATATGTGTAATATCTGTCGATCAAATATATACAGTATTTATCAACCAATCAACTTTGTCATTGATAAACTATCATTGCTAATATCTTCGATGCGTATTTTGTTGTCTACCTGTCTACCTGTCTACCTTACTTACATACTGTTTCATTAATTCATTGATACAAATTACAATGGCGCGACAACCCAATGTTCAAAACATAGCTAATGCTTTTCAAACATTAGCAACTGAAATTGCAAGCCTTTCTAATCTACCCGTAGTTAACATCACACAACAAATACAGAATTTACAACAGATTATGGTTAATCGTATGTATATTATTTTGAACGGGCTTATATTCTATTTATCATTTTCCCGTTACTTCATTAGAAACGTTCCTAAATATTTCTTTTACTTTTAGAGGAACAAAGAACACAGGCACGAATTAGTAATTCAACAATCCGCGATGACCATGCTAATATTGAACTATTATTAACAGACACGGGAGGCATTCCACCTAACTTTTCGCAGGGCTTAGAAGATATCAAGAACGCTAGGGCTAACACAATTAATGGACTTCTCACAGCTTATAACCAGCCAGTTGCTGGAAATTTAGAGACTCGTAAGAAACGTCTAGCGAAATACTTGGGAATAAGACTAGTTTCTTTATAGGGCGGGAGAATAAGGCAGATATTCTTATTCAGTACATATATGGATCTTATAGATATTAGAAACTTAAAGGGAATACTGTACATCAAAGATATACTTATAATAATAATAATAATAACTTAATAAATTGCTAAATTCAACTTGCAGATTTTTAATAAAACGACATTTGCCAAATATATCTCCATTTATGTTAATCAATGTGACATTTTATCATCACACTAAACATTTGTAGTGATAAGAATAACATTTCTATGCTAATGACTATGTACAATTATTTTTTCTTGATTATTCAGCATGGGATGGTAACTAAATTAAAGAATCTAAAAATTTATAAAAAAAATGCCACAACGCTGTAAGCAACTTGATTGTAGAAAAGAAGCTTCATTTGATCCAAAAGATTCAAAAACTCCACACTATTGTGTTATGCATAAGCCAGTTGATTATATCAACGTAAAGACACAGTATTGAGAAGATGGCTATTACAAATTTTCTCATTTTAGTTTTCCTGGATCAATAGCAACCTCATGCGTCACTCATATAAAAGAAGGAATGATCCATTTGAGGGCTAGAACATATTTAATAAATGATCTTATTTATTTTTATTTTTTCAAAGATCGATATAATTTTTATCATATGATCGCGGCTCAAATTGAAAGAATTTTACGGGTTCCTGATCTAATAGGAGCAGTATCATAACAAGTATATGTATAAAGGATCACTTGACACTTAGCCTCGAGGTAGCAATATCATATGATACTCGCAATAGTATATATGTAGAGAATCACTTGACACTGATTCCAAAGGGAGCAATATCATATGGCACTCGCAATGATATATATGTAGAGAATCACTTGATACTGATCACAAAGGGAGTAATATCATATGACACTTACAACCACGTAAAGGATCACTTAATACTAAACCCAGAAGGAGCGGTATCATATAATACTCAAAACAGTATGGTTACTGCAAAGAAGTATAATAATAACGTATTATTAGGTATTGCGCATAACATATATCGCTGAATAATTTTTTTTATTGATAGATGTGACGAAGAAGATAGTGATGATTATTAAGACAATTATTGGGACCCTAAAAAAACATATACCAGATAGGATTATAGAAGACGTTTTACGATAAAGATGTTTTGAAAAACTTTATCAAGTCCGAAAAGCTCGACTTTAGAACATTGTATTCATGGAATTTACCAGACATTTTTCAAATATATCTGATCGAGAAAAAATAGCCATTATAGGAATTAAAATGATTATCAAGAGCAATGGTGTAAATTTCCTGATTATAGGTCGATAAACTATTAAAAAATCATAATAGTAATATATCTATTTTTATTTTATTCTCTTGCAAATCATTGATTCTAATCAGCTCTATTTTCATTTTTGAATTTCTTTTTAATGACACCCCATCTTATGATCTGCATGTAAATCAGGGATATATTTTTTATTAGTAATTCAGAACTGCGTAATGAGTGAGATATAATATATTAGAACTTCTTTCGGCTTAACGCTGATAGAAAAGTGTATAATAAAAATTACGCAAAAAAATAATAACTGTGGTTATGCATAATCACGTGCTCATATTTGTGAAATCAGCGTATTACTACGCATATCATATTCTGCGGATAATTCATATGAACTAATGATGTCTTACTGCACATAATATTCAGAAAGGTGCATTTCAGGTGATCAGGTTTACATACTATAGTCTCTTTTGGATAAGCCACCTACGTGATTAAAAAAAAAAAATATATAAATTTGCATAATTCAGTCAATGTGAGTAATTGATTCGCCCAATAATTCTTCTAGGCGTTTATCGTTACTGATTAAGATGCAGGATCAACAAAATATGTCTCATGCTCTAAAACTTCTATGATGATTTTATTAAGATTATTAGTAGCATTCAGATTCTGATTCAGTTTCAGTTTCAGAACTAGAAGATTCTGAATCAGAACAGCAGTAATCTTTATTAAAATTTTCAATATGAATATTTGGATTTAGCCGATCTATGGCCATTTTGCTAATATTTTCACATTCTTCTAAATCTAGAGATTTAAACTAAGACATGAACAAGCAATTTTTTTAATAGTCTTACTTGTAATATTACAATTCCCGAGGTTGAGATGTTGGAGTTTTAGGCAGGAACATATAATATTGAAGATTGACAATTCACTAATAAATCTACAGCAACTTATATCAAGATATTCTAATTTATGACAAGTATGGGTCAGCACTTCAGTAATCTCATCACTAATATTATTACCACTGATCTTTAAATGTCTTAAATTTAGAGATCTTTTGATAATAGCTATAATTAATCTATCATCCCATAAAGCCATGATACCACAAAAGTCGAGATACTCTATACTGAAATATCTTCGCATTAAAGTATTAGTATCTTTAATATCCCCCTTATTATATGCAATATTAAGTTTTCGTAAATTTGAACATGAGTTTAAAATGTAACTTATAGATTTATCTGTGATCTAACGTGCTTCAGCAAAATGGAACTCTTGTAAATCATGGCAATTTTCTGTGATTTTAAATAAAGATTTATCGGTAATATTTCTGCAATAAGAAATATTTAGAAATTCTAATTTACGGCATGATCATATGATCGCATATAAGCCTTTATCAATTATTGCTTAAGCATTTCACAAATTGAGATATCTTAAATTAGGATATGATTTCGCTATTATAAATAGTGATTTATCACCAAAACCTATACTTTCTTTGAAATCTAAATAAATTATATTCAGAAATGTATTCGCAATACTTTTTATTTTTTTATCTGAAAGTAAATGATAATAAGTAATTTCTAGATAGGTTACATTTGAGGCATAAGCTAGTTTATTTTTTCTGCACATTATTTTTACAAAATTTTTCAATCGAAAATGATTCTTAACATTATAGCTATACCTCTAATTATTTCCCTTTGCTCAATACATTTCTATAGAATAGGGGCACTACATCTATATCATAATCAGAAAACAAATAAAGCAGAATATAGTGACTTATTTATTGCTAAAAAATATAAAATCTGTTCTAATAATTCTAGTAAATAAAAGATGTTTGATTGCACTATAAATAATGTGTATTATATGCTATATTTTTAATCGAAAAAAATAAAATTACGCAATCACTGCTCTGGGCTAAGTCTTTCTAGTATCTCATCTAATGCAAGCTCTTGTAAACCATCATAAGAACTTTATCCTATTCTCATTTGATAATCCTTTTAATAATGCGCATTTAAGAAATTCTTCACTATAGCTGAAACTCTTATTACACTCTCCCAGTTTTGAATAGAAATCCTTTACTGTATTTTCACCTTGAATCAATAATAAAGTTTGAAAATTGAAAAGAGTTTTTCTTTTAGACCATTCAAGATCTACCTCCTTTACTCATATATCATTTATACTGCGAAATTTTTTTAGATCCTGGTTTGAAAGATTCTTTAGAATAAATGGTATTAATTCTGATGAAAGTTATTCTAGTAAATTATCTTTTTGCATTTTTTATATGGTTAGAATATTTCAATTAAAAAAATAATATTAATGATAAGCACTCGACTCCAGATATTCACATAGCTCAGGATAATCAAACACGCTTACAATCCTGTCTTATTTTATATTTTTGACAGTGATAAAGCCAGTAGTCCTATCATATGTGTATTTATATTTAACCAGATTGCATAATGGCAAATACTGCGTGGGATTAGTAGTAAACTTACCCATTGTCTTGCGTCTATTATTTCTCGACTTTTTAGCTATACATGATAATTTATCTGATTTAATTAATCTATTCTTTGAGTTCGCTTAGCCTTTTTGGTTTATAGAATTTGGCTTTATTTTCTTTAGATACAATTATCTCCTCTATCATCGCTCTGGACTGGCATTTATCAGATAGTGTAACAGGATTGGATTGACGAATATGACGCAGTACATTACAGATCTCAATGTTAGATATATCAGACATATTTGATATATTTGATATACTGAACATATTTGATATAATTGATATCTTTGACATATCAGACATATTAGATATATTTGATTTATTTGTTATATCCATTTATGTATTAATTTAATATAAATAAAGAGCAATAGAATCATGTAAACAGTAGTTCATTTTTTAGTTTACTTTTAGTTTTCCTTTAGTTTTATTTTAAATACCCATCTATAGTATTCCGCAAAATCGGATCAGATCGGATTTTATCCAAATCTGATCTAATCTGATTTTCATTTTTCAGAATCTAAATCTGATCCGAATTTGACAGATCTGTTGAAATCCAGATCTGATCTGAATCCGACAGATCGAATCTCAAATCTGAATCTGATGGATCGGCTTAAGTCCAAATCTGATCTGATCCGAATCTGAAAGTATTATTGAAAAAACGAATTTTCGGTTCTAAAAGAGATCTGAAAATGTTTCTTTTCAATGAAAGTAACCTTTTCAGCTCTAAAAGAGTTCTGAAAAGTCATTCCTTTTCATTGAAAGGAACCTTTTCAGCTCTAAAAGAGTTCTGAAAAGTCGTTCCTTTTCATTGAAAGGAACCTTTTCGGCTCTAAAAGAGTTCTGAAAAGTTGTTTCTTTTCAATAAAAGGAACTTTTCGGCTCTAAAAGAGATCCGAAAATTCGTTTTTTTCAATTGAAAGGAACTTTTTGGTTCTAAAAGAGTTCCGAAAGGTCGTTCCTTTTCAATAAAGGGAACTTTTCAGTTTTAAAAGAGTTCCAAAAATTCGTTTCTTTTCAATGAAAGGAAACAAATTTTTGGCTCTAAAAGAGTTCCGAAAAGTCGTTCCTTTTCAATGAAAGGAACTTTTCAGCTCTAAAAGAGTTCTGAAAATTCGTTTCTTTTCAATGAAAATAACTTTTCGGTTCTAAAAGAGTTCTGAAAAGTCGTTCCTTTTTAATGAAAGGAAACAAATTTTTGGCTCAAAAGAAGTTTGAAAAGTCGTTCCTTTTCATTGAAAGGAACCTTTTTGGCTC